AGAATATCTATGAAATAGAAACCTCAATAATATCTTATTTATGGGGAAGAATTAAGAAAATCTCCTCTGAAACAAATTACAGCTTGTGGTAGAAAAATAAGACTGATTAAATAATTTGCTAATAGCTGCTATGTGTATGGATGCTCAGACTTTAGTCAAAACAAATGAGGATTAACTAGGCTACAAATTCGACCCTTCCTCCTCGTTACAAGGTGGGAGAAGCTTCCTAAGAAAACCAGAAAGGTAAATGGCCATATAAAATCTTATTTTTTAAAATGTCATGTTGTAATGAGTTTCATTAAAATGTATGTTTTAGACAAGTTTCCAGTCTATAGGGCTAAAGAAAGCATGCCTAGAACTTACCACAATGTCATCCTTGAAGCTGAATCAACAACAGAGAAGGAACTGAAGATTTCATACCTAAGTACACTAAGGTACTAAGGTACTAAGGTACACCAGTGCTAGTTTATTAAGGAATAACAAGTTCTCCGTGTAGCTAAGAACATTCAGATGAACCAGCAAGGGCAGACAAACAGTGAGAGGTTGGAGGGGCCTGGGGAGCCCTCATTCCAGTAACAAATGTTTCTTTCCCTCAGAGACCGTAAGAAAAGACTCCCATAGAATTCTCATTTACTCCAAAGCAGAAATCTTCCAGCTCGTCATTAACTTAACTCTGAAATCTACAGCTGAAAAACCAAAGGGATCCAACCCTAAGAAGTATTTGCTCCATTACAAAATACTCCCGTTGCACTGCAGGCATGACGAGAGATGTAAAAGGAAATGGTGGGATAAAGAAGAAAAAGGAAGCGCTGCTTAGATACACGTTTACTGGAGAAAATGTACGTGTGTCCATTTCATGATGTACAAAGCAGGTTTCACTTTATGAAGTGATTAACTGATAAACAAGATTAAAAGAGTGGCAAATACTGGCATGAGTTATTCAGCCACAGCAGCGGTATCAGTAGTTACGCCATTCCATCAGTGTACCAACCCAAAGGAGCCATCTGACGCCTGTTTCAGTGGCATCATCCTAGCACCCGCGAGGGACAGCGTCCAGCTCTTCTGTAGGGCTAGAGAAGAGAAGGGTAGAGTAGAGACAAGAAGAAATCAAGAGGGGGAAAAAATCTGCTAAACAGCAAAACAGAGGCCAACAGATTGAAGCCACGCTTTCTTCTCTCTCTGTTTCAACTGCATGGTTCTCTGTTCCAGTGAGGACCCCAGTTCTCTGGCTGCTTCTGTGAGTTTCTCATTGATGGTTTTCAAGTGATTGGCATTCTTTTTTTATCTGTTACTTCTTTAAGATATTTTTCTTCAGAAATAATCTGAAAAAGAAGTAGAAGTCCTCATTACGTGGCAGGCCACTGTACTAAGTACAAAGACCTCAGGAAGTTGAGCCAAGTTAAACATGTCAAGTTCCATGCAAGAATAAGTCCACAGAACAATTACCAAAACTTCTTTCAAAGTCCCTAATAGTTTTTTTTCAAATGAGAAAAGCAATATTAATTTAAAAAATGGCAGTCACAGAAAGAACAAATACAGTTCAAATTTATATTAGTACTCTAATAAAGACATAAGGGATAGTTACAAAGCTGAGATTAGTCAAGTTTTAAGTTGTATCGCTTGATACTAAGATAGGGCATACTGCTATGGAGAAGTCTGACCTAACAGAAAAAGTAGACATCAAAAAACTTTTTCAGGGGCCAGGCGTGGTATGTCATGCCTGCAATCCTGGCACTTTGGGAGGCTGAGGTGGGGGTATTACTCGAGGTCAGCAGCTCAAGACAAACCTGGTCAACATGTAAAACCCTGTCTCCACTAAAAATACAAAAATCAGCCTGGTGTGGCGCACACGCCTGTATTCACAGCTACAAGAATTATCTGAACCCAGGAGGCGGAGGGAGGTTGCAGTGAGCTGAGATCGCGCCACTGCACTCTAGCCTGACTCTGTCTCAAAAAGAAACTTTTTTTCTAAGATGGAGTTTCACTCTTGTTGCCCAGGCTAGAATGCAATGACAGGATCTCAGCTCACTGCAACCTCTGCCTCCCAGGTTCAAATGATTCTCCTGCCTCAGCCTCCCGAGTAGCTGGGATTACAGGCGTGTGCCACCACGCCCGGCTAATTTTTGTGTTTTTAGTAGAGACCATGTTGGCCAGGCTGGTCTCGAAATCCTGACCTGAGGTGATCTGCCCACCATAGCTTCTCAAAGTGCTGGGATTAGAGGTGTGAGCCACCGTGCCCAGCCCTTTTTTTTTTTTTTTTTTTTTTTTAGAGAATCCTGTTACAATAACATTTAAAGTCAACAGATTTTTTTTAATGTTGAAATTTGTGTTAAGAAAAATTTAGAAAACATAAAAGGAAAGCAGAGCTACTTTATAATCTTATACAAAAGCATAATCCAAAGTCTTTTTGTTTGTTTGTTTGTTTGTTTGTTTTGAGACAGAGTCTTGCTCTGTCGCCAGGCGCCAGGCTGGAGTGCAGTGGTGTGATCTCGGCTCACTGCAACCTCCGCCTCCCGGGTTCAAGCAATTCTCCTGCCTCAGCCTCCTGAGTAGCTGGGACTACAGGCGTGCGCCACCAGGCCTAGCCAATTTTTGCATTTTTAGTAGAGACGGGGTTTCACCATGTTGGCCAGGATGGTCTCGATCTATTGACCTCGTGATCCCCCCGCCTCGGCCTCCCAAAGTGCTGGGATTACAGGCGTGAGCCACCGCGCCCCAAAGTCATTTTCAAAAGTACGTGAATATACAGCATGTGTATGTCACTTACAGAAATAATTTTCTATTTTATCATAAGCAGGTTAAGATTTTGCCTTCAAGGTAAAAGGTCAAGAGTAAAATGAAGAGCGGGAAGGGTGCGCCAGACCCCCAGGAAGAAAGTTGCAGGGAGTAGCAACTCCTAGGAAGAAACTCATGATTCACTGCCAACATCTGAGAGTTTCTAGCATTCCCGACAGCACTGTTATCAAAGGGCTTTGAACATTTATAGTGTGTGCTAGTCTTAGCTTCATTTTACTTCTCAGGAAAAAAAAAAAAGGCACAGAGGACAATCAACTTACCCAAGTTCAGAGCACTGGAAGATTAAACCAGTAGAGTTATCAGTAGAGCGGGTAGATTGAAGTGCCACAGAAACCCAAGCCACCGAAACCTAACTTCTGATTACAGCACACAGTTACACTAAATCTTACCTTCAATTACTATCAGCTGTATGTCTAGAGGATTGTTAATATCAACCATAAAATGCAAATGGGATCATGTCAGTCCTATGTGAATCAATCTTTACATCTTCCTCAATACTCTGGCATGGCATATAGCCATTCAAGCCCCCTGTGCCACACATTTCCACACTCTCACACACATACAGCTCCCTTACCTAAAACATCCTTCTTCGCATTCTTTCTAGTAAGTCCTTAGGCGTCCATCGAAGCCGATACAAAATATCCTCTTTTACCTCTGCCGCTATTGAAGGCACTTGGTAGCTGCCTTCCCACACGTATCACATTACTGTCACTATCTCTGTAAGTTTTTGTCTCTGCCTACACCTACGGTAACACTTTGCTGTGTGATGCTTAAAGATAAGGTACAATGGGCCAGGCACAGCACACATCTGTAATACCAGCATTTTGGGAGGCTGAAGCGGATGGATCACCTGAGGTTGGGAGTTCAAGACCAGCCTGACCAACATGGAGAAACCCTGTCTCTACTAAAAATACACACTTAGCAGGGCATGGTGGCATGTGCCTGTAATCCCAGCTGCTCGGGAGGCTGAGACAGGAGAATTGCTTGAACCTGGGTGGCGGAGGTTGCTGTGAGCCAAAATCACGCCATTGCACTCCAGCCTGGGCAACAAGAGCGAAATTTCACCTCAAAAACAAAAACAAAAAACAAAAAACAAAAACAAAACAAACATAAAGCCAAAACAAAAAACAAAGATAAGGTACGATGTGCAACTGAAGCCATAATCATGAACATAAACACTTTGTGCTGTGACTTTAAATCCATTAGACTGCCTTGAACGCAAACAAATTTGTACCCATGCATGTGATATGGCATCATGCAGTGCTCTTTGGAAATAGTGGTTCACTAAGTTATATAGATGTACATGTTGAAACTTACATGTCAAATTCACTCCGTTACATAATATCATGAAAAAAAAATGCTACTGAGCTTACAGTGGTATTACAAGTTTCTCAATCTAATTTTTGTTTGAAACCTTGAATTTTATCACTGGCAAAAAATATATGGTCAGTATATTTAAAAAACAAAAAAGAGTTTACTCATCCTAGGAAAGATCAAAATGGTAACAGCAAGAACAGCAGATGGCTCATATATCCACCAACAGGAGAAAACAGGCCTTTTATCTTGGGTGAAGCTAGTGAATAACTATTTGTCCTCATTGGCAGGACAGCAGCTGTATTCTAGAGGTGAAGGAAAGATCCTTGTGTTCTCATTGTTCAACACCCGCCTATGAGTGAGAACATGCAGTATTTGATTTTCTGCTCTTGTGTCAGTTTGCTGAGAATGATGGTTTCCAGGTTCATCCATGCCCCTACAAAGGGCACAAACTCATCGTTTTTGATGGCTGCATAATATTCCATGGTGTATATGTGCCACATTTTCCCTGCCCAGTCTATCATCAATGGGCATTTGGGTTGGTTCCAGGTCTTTGCTATTGTAAACTGTGCTGCAATGAACACATGGACACAGGGAGGGGAGCATCACACACTGGGGTGTGTTGGGGGGAAATACGGGAGGGACAGTGTGGGGTGGGGAGGTGGGGAGAGATAGCATGGGGAGAAATGACAGATATAGGTGAGGGGGAGGAAGGCAGCAAACCACACTGCCATGTGTGTACCTATGCAACAATCTTGCATGTTCTTCACATGTACCCCAAAACCTAAAATGCAATTAAAAAAATAAATAAATAAAAGAAAAAAGAAAAAAAACGTCGATCAAAAAAAAAAAAAAAAACCAAAAACAAAAAAACAAAAAGAAAAGATCCTTTACCTGAAATACCCCATGTGATACTGAGTTTTCTTATCTCTAACAGTAATGGTCTGGAACTCAGGAGGATCACAGTAAAACCTCCAATGAAGGTTAAAATTCAGACCTGTTGATTTTTTCTTCATTTTATGTTTTCTAGCAGGGATATCATAAGGAGCAACTAATGGAAGTCCAAGGCTTGCAGAAAGTGAATCTATAAAGAAAATAAATTTAGACAATACCTTCTGGAGGCAGATACGAAATAATCCTTTTAGTTAGTAAACTACTTCAAAGCAATTGTCTTAAAAACATTTCTAAAGTAAAAGAAAATCTTGAGTTACCTGTGAAGATGTCAGTTATAAACACTCAATGGAAAAAGAAGTCAGAGTAACAGAAAAGCAGCATTTAGGTTTACCATTTCCTCTGAATTTATCACTGAATTACCTTCACATTTTAAACATTCCTGTTGTTTCTTACTTTAGCCAAAGCAAGGCTGGTTTCTATTCCCATAGGCCCATTATCACACTGCGGTTAGCCTCAAATACTTGTAGTATACACACGTTAAGGGACAGAAAGATAGATAGCAAAAATGTGTGGATTAATAATAAAAAACAGGCCAGGTGCAGTGGCTCACACCTGTAATCCCAGCACTCCGGGAGGCTGAGGCGGGCTGATCATCTGAGGTCAAGAGTTCAAGACCAGCCTGGCCAACATGGCAAAACCCCATCTCTATTAAAAATACAAAAATTAGCCGGGTGTGGTGGCTCAAACCTGTAATCCCAGCCACTCAGGAGGCTGAGGTACAAGAATCACTTGAACCCTGGAGGCAGAGGTTGCAGTGAAACAAGATGGCACCATGGCACTCCAGCCTGGGTGACAGGGCGAAACTCTGTCTCCAAAAAAAAAAAAAAAAAAAAGAGTAAAAAACATTTCTATCCCCCTTTCCTCTACCTCAGCTAATCACACAAGATTCCCTTGACTCTTTGGCAATCTATTTGGCCAACCCTAACCCTAGATGATTCCATCTTCCTTCTCTATTCACAAATCACAGACAGGGAGTGTTAATAAACCACAAAGACATGAAGTCTGTGCAAATGTACGATGTATAACTTCAAATGGGTCCTTGCTGCTTCTAAGAGGGAGGGGAGCACTTCAGGCGACAGCACGCAGTTTTATAAGGAGGCAAGGATGAAGAAAGCACAAAAGTCCCGGAACGGGCAGCGCCATGAATAGAAGCATAGAGATCACTTGACAGGAAAAGTAGTCCAGCTCAGCTGGAAGCCACAAGAAAACTAAAAGCATCCATCTCATTAGCCAAAGATAACACAGTTAACAGTCTAGTATACAGTCACAAATATCCGGCCGGGCGCGGTGGCTCACACCTGTAATACCAGCACTTTGCGAGGCCGAGGCAGGTGGATCACGAGGTCAAGAGATCAAGACCATCCTGGTCAACATGGTGAAACCCCGTCTCTACTAAAAATACAAAAAATCAGCTGGGCGTGGTGGCGCGTGCCTGTAATCCCAGCTACTCAGGAGGCTGAGGCAGGAGAATTGCTTGAACCCAGGAGGCAGAGGTTATGGTGAGCCGAGATCGCGCCATTGCACTCCAGCCTGGGTAACAAGAGCGAAACTCCGTCTCAAACAAAACAAATATCCATACTCTCCACCCCCATAAACAGATACAAATATGTAACAAACTGAGACCGGTTGTTTTGTTATCTGTGCCTGTCTTCCCTACAGCCCACTTAAATTTTCTCAATATTTTTCCATGCTATTCAATGTTATTTTACGGTATTTTTTAATAGGGCATGATACTGCATTATAAAGAGGTAACCATCTAGTCTCTTACTGATGGACATTTACTATTTTTTTTCTGTCCTAAAAACGTTTCAGTGAACATCTTTGCTAATAAGTGCTTGTACACAGACATGACTATTTTTAAAGAAACCGCAACACAGTTGTGACCTATCAGCAAAAGTCAGAATATGTACCAATATCCATTTCTTTCAATAGCGTATGACAGTGCTTACCAGTTAAAAAATTTAAACAATACAAAAGGGTGTATAGTGTAAAGTAATGATCACAGTCCGTTAACAGTTTATTCTTTCAGAGACAAATTAAGCACATAGAAAAGTATACAAGGAGATGTGTGCACTCCCCTGCTTTTTTCCCCTAAATAATAATGGCAGCATATTCAATACACTCTTCTTTTGCACTTAACATATTTCAGGCATGGGAGTTGGTTATTTCCTAGAAATCTGCCTCATTCTTTTAAAACAATGAAGATCTACTAAATTGACGTGTCATCGGTAGGCATTGAAGCCGCTTCCCATGTTTCATTTAAGTCAATATCCTCAAACATAATTCTTAGTTTGTGGAATCCATAAGTAAAGTGCTTGGAAGCAGAACTGTTAAGCCATACTCAGATTCCTGCAACGTATGAAAGTGCTTGCTTTCCTTCCCATTCCTCCAGAATGTAATGAATTTATTTGCCTTCGCCAATAAAACAGGTGACAGTGGCATTACAACAGCATTAATCTGTATTTCTTACTATATTTTCTCTTACTAGAAACATCTTGGAAACCATTCCTTTTCTATGAACTGTTTATATTCTTGGTCAGGCTTCTTCAATTATTATATATATGTATTCTTTTTTGAGATGGGGCTCACTCTGTCACCCAGGATGGACTACAGTGGCACAATCTCTCAGCCTCTGCCTCCCAGGTTCAAGCGATGATCGTGCCTCAGCCTCCCGAGTAGCTGGGACTACAGGCATGCGCCACCACACCCAGCTAAGTTTTCTATTTTTTATAGAGACAGGGTTTCACTATATTGCCCAGGGTGGTCTCAAACTCCTGACCTCAAGTGATCTGCCCATCTTGGCCTCCCAAAGGGCTGGGATTACAGGCGTGAGCCACCAGGTCTGGCCAATTATTATATTTTTCAGAGACAGGTTCTTCCTCTGTCACAGAGGCTGGAGTCATCATAACTCATTGCAACCTTGAACTACTGGGCTCAAGGAAGGATCCTCCCAGCTCAGTCTCCCAAGCAGCTAGGACGATAGGCATATGCAACCATGCCTAGCTTTTTTTTTTTCTTTTTTTTTTCCTTTAATTTTTTTGTAGAGAGGAAGTCTTGCTCTGCTGACCAGGTCAGTCACAAACTCCTGGTCTCAGGTGATCCTCCTGCCCCAGCTGGGATTACAGAGTGTGAGCCACCATATCCGGCTTGTTGCCTATTACATAATTCTTTCCATTTACGCAAGAATGACTCTGGAGCAACTCACCAGCTGGCTTTTCAGGATCAAGGTCTTCACAGAACTTCCAGAAGTGATAGGAATCTTCAGGTAAAGAGAGCTTATGATGATTTTCTACTTCTTTTTGAAGGTCCCTGAAGACATTGGCTTCACAGAATTTCCTTTTCTTCACATCAACTGATTTTTCCACACTGAAAACTGGCACACAAAACTCTAATGCTCCATAATATCTTTAGTAATTTCAGTAACTTTCCTTGCCTGACAATCTCACTCTTGTTCACCCAACTCTATGAGATACATGTGTACTCCTTCAAACTCTAAATGGTATTTGAGTAAAATCTGGGAATTCATTTGGGCACAGAAAATACAGTAGTTTATATGGTGGTTCAGAGGAATCCACACAGCAAGTCTTTAAATATATTTTTCTAAATAATAGAAACCATAAAAAACAAAAAGTTAAAAAAGAAATAGTAAAGATCCAGAAGAGAGGAATCAGGAAAGGGCAGGTTTTGCCCTCTTTTGGTTAAAGGTGTGAATCTTTTAAACAGATTCATTGATGACACCAGAAATAAATGGTCAGAAGTAACTGGATAGAAGCAAGCCATCAGTTAGAAACCTGTTTCTTCGGCAACATCCAGAGTTGTGTCTGAGCTATTCATAACAATTATTACTCAGCCTTACACAGATACCTCTCTTTTGATTTTTCAAATAAGGAAGGAAGGTTAGTGACAATGTTAAACATCCACAGTTCCTAACAAAGTCAGCAGAACAGCACTTAACTCTAGGTCCAAAATCCAGTCATTTCAAAAAAGGCCTTTTAATGCCAGGATGAGGTTACAATACTCATCTCTAGCACCACCTTAATACAGGTTCAGTACACTGGGTTTTAGAATGCCTGTTAGATATCCGATACGTTTCTGTAAAGATACTACGCTTAATTGGAGGTTCCATCTGTTAAGTTTTCTAAGCAGCAATCTGTTTTGCTTTCTAGGAACCAGATTCTTTCTTTTTGGATTAAGTTATTTCCTTTTTATTCTTCCTACCGAGAGCAGTGGTTCTCAACTGGCGGTGATTTTGCCCCTTAGGGGACATCTGGAGACCTATCTAGTTGTAACGAACTGGAAGAAGGGTGCTGGTGGCATCTAGTGGGGCAGAGACCAGGGATGCTGAACATCTTATTTATTTATTTATTTTTTGAGACAGTTTCATTCTGTCACCAGGCGCCAGGCTGGAGTGCAGTGGCGCGATCTTGGCTCACTGCAACCTCCACTTCCCGGGTTCAAGCAATTCTCCTGCCTCAGCCTTCCAAGTAGCTGGGACTACAGGTGTGCATCACCACGCCCAGCTAATTTTTGTGTTTTTAGTAGAGACGGGGTTTCACCATGTTGGCCAGGATGGTCTTGATCTCTTGATCTCATGATCTGCCCGCCTTGGCCTCCCAAAGTGCTGGGATTACAGGTGTCAGCCACTGCACCCGGCTGATGCTGAACATCTTACAATGCCTAGGGTAGGCATCCTCAACAAAGACGACTGGCCCCAAATGTCAACAGTGCTGAAGCTGAGAAATTCTGACATAGATATTTCTCATATTTATATTCTTCAGTTTTCCCAGTTGGCTTAAGTTTATTAATGTTATGTGAGGTATCATTCGATGTCTACAAAATGTATTGATGAAATCAGATGACAGAGAATGGTCATAATGGCAATGATTCCAAGAGCAAACCAAACAGAACAAATGAAATACCTATTGATAGGAGAAGAGTTATAAGGCTTCCAAACAATAGACTATTACACTTAATATTACAGTTATCCCTTGAGCAACAAGGGTTAGAATTTTGTGGACCCACTTACACATGAATGTTTTTTCCAACCAAATGCAGATTTGAAAAATACAGTATTCTTTGGATGTGAAATCCACTTTAGAGTGATGGCCGACTTTTTGTATACTCGGGTTCCCCAGGACCAACTTTGGAAGTTGGGTATGCTCGGATTTTGGGATATGTGGGAGTCCTGGAACCAATCTCCTTCATTTACCAAATGGTTACTGTATGGCTACACAAAATGGACCAATCTATATTAAATATTTTTAATGAGGGAAAAATTTCTTGATTATATGTAGCATGATAGCCTTTTTATGAAGTTCAAAAACTTAAATGTTGTTTAGATATACACTCACAGGAGATAAGCCTATTTTTAAAAGGCAAGGAAAAACGAAATTCAGGATAGCTACATTGAACATGAGTGACAGAAAGAAGACTGAATGGATAGGAGAGGAACACTTGTAGAATGATTATTTCAGTTTGGGGAGGGGTGTTGGGCAAAGGGTTCCAGGTGTTTGTTACATTACTTAACATAAATAAGGTAAAAAACCGATGATGAACTGAACAATGGCAACAGTTTATTATGCCAAGGATTATAATGCATCTGATTTTTTAAGAAATTGCATTGAACAAAAAGGCTGTTGAAAAATGAATCCAAAAGTGAGTATCAATAGTAGCAAGTAGTAATAGTAAAGATAATGTAATTGTAAAAACAAATAGTAAGTCATACTTATTGAGAATTTATTTTATGCTTTATTTCACTGTTCTAAGCACCTTCTGTGGATTAACTCATTTAATCCTCAACTGTCTCATGCAGTAGATACTATCAACCTCACCTTACAGCTGAGGAAACTGAGGGTAACTTTCCGACGTCCCTAACTAGGAAGTGGAAGAGAAGGGCTTGAACCTCAGGTTTAAATCTGGCTCACCGCAGATTCTCAACCACTTTATTATGTTGCTTCTCCAACTGCAAATACAGAACAGTAGGAATTTATGACGTCCTGAGCTGTCCTATCTTTTGTTTTTCCAACTGTCTTTGGTCAGGCTTTCAAAGACTGCCTGCTACTTAAGATGTTAGAAAACGCTTTGTCTGCCTTGCTGAAAGGGAGTTTTGCATAATGGGGAGGTTCCTGGGTTGACCCCTGACTCAGCTGATTTCCAACCTGAGGCAAGCTACTGAACCTCTCTGTGCCTTGTTTTCTCATCTGCAAAAAGGGCGTATAGTACCTATATCATAGGGTTGTTACAAGGAATGTTACATGTAAAAATACACAGAACTAGCACATAATACACAAATGCTGGCCATTGTGGTTATAGTCACCATAGACTCACTTCATTTCTGGGATTGTATTTCTAGTTACGTACATCACTCCACCAAAACAGTTCGTCACTGCACCTTCAAAGAGGGAATGTTTTCAGCTGTGCCTTAACTCACACACCAGTTCCGCATCTCCGTATCCCTAACGACTAGAGTTTAGGACAGCTGACCCCTTCAGAGGCTGCACTTCTCCTTGACCCTGGCATTCCTAGAATGCGTGACCCACTATGAAGAATGCCTAGACTCATGGCCCTTTAACAGCTACTGAAGCCTTGTAAGAATGCCTCACCCTGTCCGATCTCTAACACTGCCAGAGTCATTTTTCTCAAACTTGAGTTGTCACAATGGCACTTCTTTCCTGCCTGGTTCCCCTTACTGCTACTGTGGTGGTTACAGAACTTCCGAAATCCTAGTGAAGTATGAGAGAATGCACAAACTTTCTCCTCCTTCCCGGTCAGTGGCGCTTTTACGATCAGGTCACTTGTACTTTCCCATTTGCCCCTGTCCCGCCAACCCGAACGCTCTGCGCGGCCCAGACATCTCCTGCACTATCATGGCTCAGAATCTTACTTCTAGACCTTCAAAACACATTTTCAAAGAGTTGTCTTAAGAGTCTTCTCTAACAACCCCCGGGACTTGTGACATCCTCCTTCAGCGTTTCCACAGCACTTTCTACACACCGGCTTTATAATCCCAAACACAACAGTCACAGGAGAATACGTCTTCGCTTGCGCGCCCTCCTCCCCAGGGCGGGGGCTCTGCAGGCAGCAGGGGCAGCCGGGCGGACCCCGAACCCGCAGCGCCCCGCACAGTGTCTGCTGCGCCATCGGTTCCCCATCAACCCGGCTGCGAGAATGAATGAACCCGTCGGTTCGTCCAATCCGTTTCCCCAGGAAAGGGGCCAAGAGGAGCTACTTTCTGGCGCACCCGCTACAGAGCGCGACACAGCGCCCGGGGCAGGACCCTCGCCGCGACCGCAGCCCCCGGACCCGCAGCAGGCCGCACAGTCACTGGATGAATGACACGCACCGCCTCCGGGTGCCCCGGCTGTCGCCCAGAGCGCCCCGCGGAGCCCGCACGGCCTTTCCCGCGGTACCTGCGGCCCCGTCCCGCCGGGGCTGCGCTTCCCGCCACCGCCGAGCATCTGCAGCGGCAGCGCCGGCACAACTCCCGGATCCGCGGCCGCTCCCGGGCGCCGCCACCTGCTGCGGGGTTGCAAAGCCTCCAGGCCGGATCCCAGCGCCGCCCGGGCGCGCCGCGGGAGGGGAGGGGCGCGGAGGGAAAGGCTCCGCCCATTCCCCGCCCATTCCCCGCCCATTCCCCGCCCCCGGGGCCCGGCGCCCGTTGAGGCCCCGCCCACTCCCCTGCGGGGCGCGCGGAAGGCGCTCGGTCCGCGTGGCCGGCAGCCGGACTTTGCGGAGCACCTGCCAAGGCCGCTCCGGGGACCCCCAGACGACTGCGTCGGAGTCCGCTGGGGCGGCGCAAGCTTCCTCTTCAGGTGTCTGCTGGAGGCAAGGTGGGACGTACGCGGCGGCCCTCGAGACGGCCCGTTCCTGGTTCCTGCTTCACTCCTACTTACCGGCAATGTTCTTCCTTTTCTGCTTCTCCTCCAGCCCTCTCCGTCCCCTGCGATGCGGTTACTGGCTTACGCTCGTTCATTCCCGATTATCACCGAGAAGGAGATACATGTCCGTCTGTCTCCGTTTGTCTCTGTGCCGTCGTCTTGTCGCTACAGTGTGGATCATGTTTTCTCTACACCCCTGATATGCAAAGTGCAGTCCCTGAAGCAGCGGCCTCAACACGCCGAATCTCAGCCGCGCGTGGTGGCTCACGCCTGTCATCCCAGAATTTTGGGAGGCCGAGGCGGGCGGATCACCCGAGGTCGGGAGTTCGAGACCAGCCTGACCAACATGGAGAAACGCCGTCTCTACTTAAAAAAATACAAAATTAGCCGGGCGTAGTGGCGCATGACTGTAATTACAGCTGCTTGGGAAGCTGAGGCAGGAGAATCGCTTGAACCTGGGAGGCAGAGGTTGCTGTGAGCCGTCCCGCCTGGGCGACGGGAGCAAAACTGCATCTCAAAAACAAACAAAACAAACATCAACAACAAACCACGCCAATCTCAGGCCCTACCCAGCCTTACTGAATCAGTATCTATATTGCAACAAGATCCCCTGGTAATTCCTATGCACATCAAATTTGGAAGGCACAGCTCTCAGCTGATGTCCTTGGGTCTCCTCCACATCCATCTGAGCAAGGTCTTATTCCTCATTCCTGAGATGAGTTCTGTATATCCTGAATCTGTGTCTTCCTTTTTTTTTATTATATACCCTCATGTTATAGAAGGCCAATAATTCCTTGAGGGAGGTTGCTGCCAGGTCTTTTTTTCCCACAGAGCTTGCGTGTCTGAAACGGCTTTTATTCTGGCTGAGCACAGAGTTCAAGATTGAAAATGACTTTCACTCAGAATATTGGAGGGCGTGCTCCACAATATTTTAGCTTACAAAATTGTTGAGAAACTCTGCATCATTATATTTCCTTCTCCTTCACAGGCCACTAAATTTCGTGGAACGTAACCAGCTTTTGTTTCTGTTTTGTTTTTATTTCAAGAAGCTTTAGGATCTTCTCTTTCTTCTCAGTGTTCTAAGACACAATTGAGTGTCTTGGTTATGGATCTTTTCTCGTTTCTATTGATCAGTATTTCAATCCTGAAATATGTGTGCTTCAGTTATGGGAATTCTTCTGGTATTATTAATGTGATCATTTCTGCCTCCCACCTTACCGTATCTCTTCTTTTTAAAAAATTTGTTCGGTTGTGGACCTTCTTGGCTAATGTTTTTTTCTTACCTGGCTGGCCTATTTTCTATATCTTCATCTTTTTGTTCTACGTTCTCTGTGACTTTTTCAACTTAATTGTGTAGGTGACCCCCAGCATGGACACGGAGGAAGGAGAGCTGGGCAAACCCCAGGCACAATTAGTGCCTGAAGAATATCTTAGTTTATAGTGTTATTACTCAGCTATTTCCTTTTTCTATATAATCATATAATAACTTACAGCTTAATATATCTAGCTTATATAAACATACTTAGTACTTATATCTAGCATACTTAGTTCCATATAATCTTTCTATGTAGTCATATCAATATTATAGTCTATATAATCATATAGATCAGGCATTCCTAAACTACGGCCCAAGGGCCGAATGCGGCCCCCTGAGGTCATTTATCTGGCCCCCCGCCACACTTCGGGAAGGGGCACCTCTTTCATTGGCGGTCAGTGAGAGGAGCACAGTATGTGGTGGCCCTCCAACGGTCTGAGGGACAGTGAACTGGCCCCCTGTGTAAAAAGTTTGGGGACGCCTGATACAGATATTCTATATAATTCTATAGGTATTGTAGTCAGAGCTGTACCTACACATTTAGTGCTGATTTATAGACTTCTTCTATATAACCATATAATAGTTTGTAGTAGGAGGAATGCCCAGAAGAGCCACAAAACAGAAGCAGTACATGGGAAAACAGCCAGACCAGGACAAGAACCAAAGACCCAGGCGGTGGCGTCCCTGCCTGAAAGGGCATATGGCAGGCTTGGAGCAAGAGCCTCTCCTCCTGAAAAAGGACTTGTAGTACCTTGCCTCCAGTTCCTGTAGAAAGTAGGCCTCAGGCCTGAGATCTCGCAAATAACCGAGGGAGAGGAACCCCTCTGGTGTGAACCGGTCATGGCAGCTGGACACCCTGTCAAGCTTTTCTTGCTTCTGTGCTAGCTCAAATCATCCTCCCATAAATATCTTAAGAGAAGAGCACAAGTCTGTCAGCTCCCACTGCATTGGCTTACAGTATCCTTCTATTAGAAATCCTTGGAAGTCTCCAGCCCCCAGATAAGAAGCGTTGGGCATGACACTTGTTGCACACAGCCCACCTCCTTGCCTCGATGACCTAATGGGGGTGGACCCCTTTTCTGTACACGACCCTCTACTACTGTGCACGGCATGGCCCCCTACTGCACACAGCCCATCTCTCTGCCCACGTGACCTAGTGGGCTGGCCCCCTTGCCTGCTACTCACGTGATTATGTATGCCCTATCATTAAGCCTATGGGTGACCTCACTCACGATCCTGCCCCGCTGCCTTGTACCCAATAAATACGGACATTTCTGGATGTTCGGGGCCTTGCTCACAGGCGGCAAGGACCCCGAGTCCAGCTGCTCTTCTCCAGTTCTTTAGTGTCCTGTCTCTTTAGTTCTCGAATACTGCACCTCAGCACAGCGTAAGGGACACCCCATGACCCTGTGGGGCTCATAGCCCTACATAACTGGACAAATGACTATCAGATTACTTTATTTCTTTTATTATACCTTCATTTCTAAGTGCCCTTTTTATTCTCTGTTCTTTCATAGCATTACATGATTTTTTTCATGAATATAACTCCTTTTATCTCTGAAGATGTAAATCATAGAGCTTTTTCAATGCTTTCTACATAACTGTGTGTTGACTTTGATTCTTTTGAGTCTTTTTTGGTTGTTCGTTGGTTTAAATTTGGTCCCTGTCATTTCTGCTAGAGGCATTCTTCATTTTGTGTGGGGATCCTTGCTGTCCATTTATATGTAAACATGATGCTCTTAAAAAGGTGCTCTGGGGACATAGGTAAGGCTTGTTCACTGCTGGACACGGTGTAAGATGACGGGACAAGGGCCAGCTGTTTATTTTCTTCTAGCGAGTACTCTTTTAATTACTTGCTTTGAGAATATACAGACTTCTTGGAGCCCAATGCGGGAAGGAGGCTGGGAGTCTTAATAATTTCATTATATGCACTGTATTAGTCAGGGTTCTCCAGAGAAACAGAAAGAATAATAGATATCTATATCTATACCTATATCTGTATCCATCTGTTAGCTCCTGTGACTATGGGTTTGAGAAGCTCCACAATCTGCTGCCTGCAGGCTGCAGACCCAGAAAGCCCATCTGTCTTGTAGTTTGAAGCCCTGATAGCTGGGGGGTCAGTGGTGTAGATTCCAGCCCGAGTCCGAAGTCCTGTGAGCCAGGATCACGGAAGGCAGGAAAAGATCAAAGATTCAGTTCAAGAAGTCTAGCGGAGAGTGACTCCTCCCTTCCTGTACCTTTTTGTTTTATTCAGACCCGGAATGGATAAGGTGATGCCCACCAACATTGGGGAGGGTAATCTCTTGTGCTCAGTGCCCTCACAGACACTCAGAAATACTGTTTAACCATCTGGGCATCCTGTGGTCCAGTCAAGTTGACACATAAAACGAACTCTCCGCCAGGCGCGGTGGCTCATGCCTGTAATCCTAGCACTTTGGGAGGCCAAGGAGAGTGGATCACTTGAGGTCAGGAGTTCGAGACCAGCCTGGCCAACATGGTAAAAACCCCCGTCTCTACTAAAAATGCAAAAATTAGCTGGGTGTGGTGGCACGTGCCTGTAGTCCCAGCTACTTGGGAGGCTGAGATACAAGAATCACTTGAACTCAGGAGGTGGAGGTTGTAGTGAGCTGAGATCACGGCACTGCACTCCAGCCTGGGTGACAGAGTAAGGCTCCGTCTCAAATAAAATAAAATAAAATAAAATTGAATTATCATGCACACCTTCACTTACACCACTGTTTCATAATAGTATTTTTACCTTCAGCTGGGTCTGGTGTCCCTGAATGCATATCCTGGTTCCATATCTCCCAAAAGAAATAGTCTTGCAGGTTTCAGGTTGGGAATGAGGCACTGAGAATGTTTCCCTGACTTTGCTGGGAGAGGAAATCTGGCAGTCTTCACTGCTTCTGGAACTTTGAATGGTCTCTCTGCAGCTCGTCCCACTGAAGAGGTGTGGTACTTGCCATTCCTGAACCTTTGTGGCGTTCTGCAGGGTCCGTGAGCTTGCTTCCAGGCATCGCCTGTGAAAACATGTGGGTTTCAGTTTTCTCTTGGAAGTCCATATGTTCACCAGTATATTAGTCTGCTAAAGCCATTATGAAAAATTTCGTATACTTCTTCAGGTTATCAGTGTCTGTCATATTTAAAAAAATTATTTCATTATTTTTAAATTATACTTTAAGTTCTGGGATACATGTGTAGAATGTGCAGGTGTGTTACATAGGTATACACGTGCCATGGTGGTTTGCTGCACCCATCAACCCGT